GACATGTTTAAAAACAAAGGTGCAAGATTTTGTAATGAGCTTTATTCATTTTTAAAAGTTCCATTCTGTAGCCAGTACTCTTTCCTGTTCCAGGAGGACATACTGAAATATTGTTTTTCCATGGGTGTGTTACCACATCTGTTTGCCCAATCTACTAATGGATTTTGAAGTGGTCCTTCTTGTAACTTGGGTAAATTTTGTGTTTGACCTGGCATTGCTTACATATTGTGTAACTACTTGTTTTTTCTCATAAAGCAATAGCTATGTTAAAAAAATGGGGTGAGGTCTTTGAGTGCCCCATAGGATCACTTCCATGGACCTTTGAAATAATTGGAAGAGGAGCAGTTCTGATCCAAACTGCAATTGACAGATTGTAAAGTAGAGCCAAAGGACATTCTAGTAAACAAAGATAATGATGAAGGGTGGTGCTTTACTCTGTGGCATACTTGGCATTCTATTTATTCTTTACTTAAATACTTAATAAAAATAGATTCAGTTGGGATGAAGCTTTAGTAGGTTCTAGAAGATGTGTCTGTGGGCGCATTGATGCCCTCGGCATCAAGCAGCCTATTCTTGATTTAGCCTTAACTACCATTCAGGTTTGCTGCAAAGATCAATGTGATAATTGTATGTATTTGTTCAAAGCATTCTTACCTTGCTTTTTAGGTAAAAGGGCTCCTAGAGTGATTTACAAAGTTCAGTAGTATGACTGTTCCTGCCCTCTGACTTACAGTTCAAATTATCACATATAGAGAAAAAGGACTAGAGGGAAGAGGAACAAAATGAAATACAGTGGAAAGGAGAAGGTAGTTCAGGCTAATGGTAGAGACTGGATTTTGTTATTTTAATAATAGCAATAAGAAAGTAACTTCCTTTTTCTCTCTTTCCTTGAAAGAAAAACCTGATAGTTTTTCCTGTGAAAAGACTGAGCTTTGTTCAGTTCTGGAGTCATTCTAAGCAATATGTTTTTGCTATCAGGATCTGGTTGGTAGATCTCAGAATTCTAGTAAAATCATAGATGATTCTGTAAACCTGAAGTCTACTTACTTAGTATCGGCCCAGCTGACTCGATCTTGTAGGGTTGGCATGCTCCAGGTTCCTTTGATTAAACAGTGTCATCTATTGGGACCCTGGAAATGTGCCTTCTCTGTAGCAGCGCCTGCCCTCTGGAATGTGGTTCTCCCTGAGATCTGGATGGCCTCAACTCTGCTGTTGTTTAGAAGAGCCATGAAGACCTGACTTTTAACCCAAGCCTTTGGCAAGGGAGAATGAGACCCCTTATTTCATTCAATCTGGTCTGTTGTGGTTGCTCTCTTTTATCTTTATATTTTATTGATTTTATTATAACTTTTTTGATTGTTGTGAGCTGCCCAGAGTCATTGGGAGTCAGATGGATACATGTTAATTAAATAATGATAATAATAACCCAAAACATCTGGAATACCACTTGAAGACCATCAGCATTGACAAAATCACCATCAGTCAATTGTAAAAGGCAGCTTTATTTGGAACAGCTTACATCCTGCGACGATACCTTTAACAGCATCAAACAACAGCATCTGCCTATCCCAGATCCTTGGGAAGGACTTGATAGGTGGATAAAAATGCCAAATCCAGTCTAAACATCTGGCTGACTGTGCGACCAACAATAAGTTACTACTACTACTATTGTGGATGCATTGATTAGTGTAATAACTTAGACTAGGAAAACTGGGATCCAAATCACTGCTTAGCTGGCCTTCCCCCAAGAGAAAAATGTGTATGTGACCTTAGACTATTTGTCATCTCTCAGTTTAATGTACTTTACAGGCTTTGCAAGGATAAATGTTTGGTGGGTAGACAGTGTGTGCAGCTGTTTGTGCTTTTAAAAATTGACAAGAACCAAAACTTGAAAGTAACAAAACACACTTATGTAAATTGCCAGTTTTGGAAAGACAAGGAGGTCAATGTGATAGGCAAATTCCTAATGTCCAGTAGTTTTATTTCCTTTGGATAGCTTGGAATGTAAATTTAATTAAACATTTGCTAGTATGACAAGAAACCTCTTGGCTTCCTAATTTAGGTTATGAGGATCTAAACCCATATTAAGTACTTGATCATGTTCAAAAACATAAGGACTCCGCACATAAATTCTTGGAGTTGGAAGAAACCATTTAGGCCACTGAGTCTAACCCCTGCTCAATGCAGGGATCTAAATGACAAAAGGCTATCCAGTCTCTGAACATTTCCAGGATCAGCTCCCTACTTACTTACTTCCACTGTTGGATTTTTATCATTACAAAATGTTTCCAAACCATCCAGAATCTATCTTCTTTTCTATAAATTAAAGTAATCATTATATGTCCTGCATTCTAGAAAACCAGTTATTTGTGATGTTCCATTAGGTATTTAAACAGCGCAATCATCTCTGTCTCATTCTGTTTTCAAAGCTGAACATACTCAGTTTTCCCAGTCTGTCATAATGCTTAGTTTCCAGCCCTTCTAGCATCTTTGATACTCTTATCTGATCCTGTTCCAGTGAGGAAAAGAAATGGGAATAAGCAAATTGCCTCTGCCCCTCTGTGTTGCATCCTTGTGTTCCCCCTCCTGACACTACATGATGACTGGTTCAAGCATCTGTATGCATTCGAATACTAACATTAGCTTGTTGAAAGATCTCAACTGTGGCAAATCAAAAATGAAATTAGATGATTATGGCAGGGAATTTGTATAGTTGGCTTTTCCTTCTCTGTATTGTAGCTTAGTTGTAAAATGTGAGCCTGATGTCATTGGCAAAGCATTTTTGCTGTCTTCATCTGGGGAATTTATTTAGCTGTTAGCTAGACACAGATGCATCTACTTCTGCTATATCATTTATTAGGGACTGATTCCAAATGTGATGTCTCTGTGTATGGCATAATAGACGGAAATACAATTATGTGTCTTCATCTGACTTTTGAATAACTCCCCCCTGAAGACAACTGATTGCAGTAAGAATAATGTATTGTTTTATAATTGTATCATAATGTCTTTTCCCTTTGAATTTTCCGGTTTAGTTATAATTCTACAAGTAGTTGAAGTCAGTAACATCTTCTTGGTGTTCTCATAACAGTCCTATGGGTAGATTAGTCTGAGGGATACAGTAATTACTGCACAGAATAACTTGATGTCATGGTTGAATTGAGATTTGAACCAAGATCTCTTTGGTCAAAATCCAACATTTGGTGCTGCCAATTGAAATCTTCATTCTTATTTTCTCTGGTATACATGTATCTCAGATGACATATTACAGTAGGTTCAAATGGCAAACTATTAGTTTTGTAAGCTGGTAATTTTTTGTGAACACTTGTAACGCTGTACAAATGGGTAAATGTTGGTACCATATATTCATATTTCCTGAAGAACAAGCTATTTGGAACCTTCTCCAATTTTTTATCTTCTAAATGTGCTGGATTATGGGTCTCTTTATCCCCTGCTATCATATGCAGAGCACCCCTATGGGTTGTGGTCAGCTGTCATATCTCTGCAGGCCTTAAAACCCATTCTCTTCTGGGATACTGTCACTTTCCCAAAAGATACAAGGCAGCACCTGCAGTGATTATTTGTGGTTTGCTGGACTGTGTAGCATGTGAAACATGGGAAAGAAAGATTCCATTGCAAAATATACAGATTAACTCTCTCTCCTCAGACAAACCAGAGCTACAAATTTGTGCAATGGCAATTTTTTTAGGGAGGCTACTGCTTAGAGAGATGGAATATGTACAAGCTGATTGCTATAAAACTGGCTATGGCAAGTTGGTTTCCATGTTCCCATTTTAAAACAGCTTATTTAGCTAATAATGCAGGTGTAACTATTTGTTTTGGTCTTCAGTAGCCTCTAGTCTGGATGAAAGAGATTGCAATGTACTTCAGACAGGACTCATTTCAGCCAGACAGTAGGAAAAAAATAAACATAATTTTTCTCTTTCATAAATTCCACACCCACAGACATGCACTTTCTCTAGTTCATTCCTCACCCTGTGCCCATATTTTAAATTCTCTGATGATTTGAACATACTCTCTCAGTTTCTGCATGAGACCACTTCTTTCTGTTTCCCTCACTATAACACACACTTTCTATCAGGTTTTTGGGTTTCTCTTTAGTCTTCACTTCCAGTTGTAACGTAAGCTAAAATATATGGCACTCCATTTGTTCAAATTTCTATGTTATCATTTACTACTTCCTTGCTCCTTACTCTCTCTCTATATCCTCATGCCAAAGTGTCATTTATAACTTATTTCTGGCAAGGACTTATTTCTACTGATGATGTTTTGGCTTTCCAAGCACCACATAACTTGTTGCTCTACATAAATAATAATCAGATATGGGTAATTGAGGTTCAATTTCAAACGTCATGTTTTTATTGCAATTCATTGTGTCACGTTCTGAAATTTGCAATGCAAGTGGAAGAATTTGATTTATCAGTTAATTTTCAAAATTACTTGCTCTAATACTCTTTAGAGGAAGACATCAGAAGAAGACAGTGGCAAACCACTTCTATATTGTTGCCAAAGAAATAATACTAACATATCCATGAAGTCAGCAGGAGTTTGACTGGAGAAAAACTTTATCTTTACCTAATACATACAGTGGTACCTCGGGATACGAACGCCTCTACTAACG